TCTTACTACCATGTCCTTCAGGTTCCTTGGGCGTCTGTATGCAGCCAATGGGGGTTCCTTAAAGACCTCTGCCATTCGTTTGTTTGAATGGAGAATTGGTAGGTTCTTTTGAAGGATACCGCTAAGGTTCTTAAGGACGGGATGGTATGTGGTTAGCAGAGGGACCCTGCCGCTATTGTCTTTCTCCTTGTAGCGTAATAGGTTTTGCCTGTCATGTCCCGCCATCTCGTCAATAGCTGTTTGTATGGTGCGGGCATTGTAGCCTCTTGTGCACAAGTGGGACTTCAGAAGACCACTTTGCTCCTGATATAAGGCAGGAGAAGAACAGATGCGTCGAATTCTGGTGGCTAGACCCTTAGGCACTCCCTTAAAAGTGTGTGGGGGATGACAGCTAGTAGGCATAAGATATAGGTGGGAGTCTGTGGGTTTGGTGTGGAGACTGAATTCCATTTCACCATCAATCAGGGTAGATGTAGTATCTAGGAATACGTTTTTCGAATTAGATACGTCTACTGTAAATTTGATCGACTGATGAAAGGTGTTGGCAAACGTAATGAATGCCTCGAGGGTCTCGCGACATTCCACCCACTTCATCTCTATATCGTCAATGAAACGCAACCAGCTATGGGGCCTAAATGGTGCTTGAAGTAACAAGTTGCGTACCAATCTGCCCATGAAGACATTGGCATAAGACGGTGCCATTTTCGTACCCATAGCAGTGCCATTAACCTGCAGGTAATGTTCTCCATTAAACATGAAGTTGTTGAACTTGAGAACATGTTCAAGGAGCATAGCAAGGGACTCGGTAGAAGGAATTTGTATGGATCTACTATCCCAGACTTCCCTACAGGCTTCGATACCCTCGTCGTGCGGAATATTGGTGTACAAAGATGTGACGTCCATAGTCACGAGGAGGGTATGATCAGGGAGGCCAGTAGAGGGCGTCTTGTTAATGTAGTCCGTGGTGTCCTTGAGATAGGATGGCAAACTCTCTACGTGTGGACGGAGATGTAAATCAATGAATTCAGAAATTTTCTCCGTGGGGTGTCCAATTGCGCTGACAATTGTCCTGGTCTACAGTCAATAGGATTTAAGGTCTCATAGACGTTGATACCAATCTCATCTTTCTCAAACATATCGTCAAGAGTTTTGGTAATGGCGGTGGAGAATTCTTTAGTAGGGTCAGAGTCCAGTTTCTTATAGAAACATTTAAACTTCTAAAGGAAGAACACCAAAAATCAATAAAAACTGAACACCGGGTCTCCAGTTTACAGACCTACTTAGAGTGTGACATTATACCGAAAGGCTTTCAGATAAGTGTTACACCTAACATAGGGCCAATCTCCAAACGCTTTCAGGAACGCTGGGACGTTATTACAAAGAGATGTTCTAAACAATTGATGTCACTCTGTCTTTCTTGGGATATCCACAAGTTAGGACAATTGAAGAGTGAGATCAAGTCCTTAGAATCATCCCTCAACGATATCATGTACCAGGCCGATCTTGATGAAGCCCATAATATTATAGACACCTATAATATGGCCCTGACAAATAAAGTCAACAAGACTCAAAAAAAGAAATTTCTCCGCGACAGTGTTCCACAGTCTAGGAACAACTGGTCAGAGGTCAGTTAACAAAACACGTAAACCCCACTCGAGACGCTTTAAACGCATTAAGACAATCGCGAGGGACGGACCCATACAAACTCTTGACGTCTGCCCAGTGCTCAGTACATCTAGTGCTCCTCTCTCCGAATCGGAGACCTCACTTCTTTCCAAGGGGCTAAATTTCTGCCCCACGCCACATGAGGTCGACGAAAAACAAGTCAGAGAGGACACCCAAGCATTCTTCCGGAGACTTCGTTTGAAGGAGCACTACTCTAGAAAAGACTCCGAAGTAAATTCATACGACTCTTCCAAGCCAGATTTACACGACCTAGAGGAACACAAACTCTATAAGCCCAAGAGTGACTGGGAACCTGCACCGGGCAAATGCGGCGCGCTTGAGTCGTATATTGACGCCGTTGAGTCAGACATAGAGAAGCTCCTTTCAATGCCAGACAAGACTCCCCACAATTTGAGTAATGAAGAGAGATCTGCCTTACAATCATTAAAAAATCGGGATGACATTGTAATCAAGAAAGCAGACAAAGGATCTACAGTTGTAGTAATGGATAAAGTGACTTACATGGCGGAGGCCCAAAGAAAACTCTCAGACGAACGTTTCTATAAGAAACTGGACTCTGACCCTACTAAAGAATTCTCCACCGCCATTACCAAAACTCTTGACGATATGTTTGAGAAAGATGAGATTGGTATCAAAGTCTATGAGACCTTAAATCCTATTGACTGTAGACCAGGACAATTCTATCTGCTTCCTAAAATACACAAAGAAGACATGCCAGGTCGCCCCATTGTCAGTGCAATTGGACACCCCACGGAGAAAATTTCTGAATTCATTGATTTACATCTCCGTCCACACGTAGAGAGTTTGCCATCCTATCTCAAGGACACCACGGACTACATTAACAAGACGCCCTCTACTGGCCTCCCTGATCATACCCTCCTCGTGACTATGGACGTCACATCTTTGTACACCAATATTCCGCACGATGAGGGTATCGAAGCCTGTAGGGAAGTCTGGGATAGTAGATCCATACAAATTCCATCTACCGAGTCCTTTGCTAAGCTCCTTGAACATGTTCTCAAGTTCAACAACTTCATGTTTAATGGAGAACATTACCTGCAGGTTAATGGCACTGCTATGGGTACGAAAATGGCACCGTCTTATGCCAATGTCTTCATGGGCAGAATGGAACGCAACTTGTTACTTCAAGCACCATTTAGGCCCCATAGCTGGTTGCGTTTCATTGACGATATAGAGATGAAGTGAGTGGAATGTCGCGAGACCCTCGAGGCATTCATTACGTTTGCCAACACCTTTCATCAGTCGATCAAATTTACAGTAGACGTATCTAATTCGAAAAACGTATTCCTAGATACTACATCTACCCTGATTGATGGTGAAATGGAATTCAGTCTCCACACCAAACCCACAGACTCCCACCTATATCTTATGCCTACTAGCTGTCATCCCCCACACACTTTCAAGGGAATGCCTAAGGGTCTAGCCACCAGAATTCGACGCATCTGTTCTTCCCCTGCCTTATATCAGGAGCAAAGTGGTCTTCTGAAGTCCCACTTGTGCAAAAGAGGCTACAATGCCCGCACCATACAAACAGCTATTGACGAGATGGCGGGACATGACAGGCAAAACCTATTACGCTACAAGGAGAAAGACAATAGCGGCAGGGTCCCTCTGCTAACCACATACCATCCCGTCCTTAAGAACCTTAGCGGTATCCTTCAAAAGAACCTACCAATTCTCCATTCAAACAAACGAATGGCAGAGGTCTTAAGGAACCCCCATTGGCTGCATACAGACGCCCAAGGAACCTGAAGGACATGGTAGTAAGAACCAGACTGGACAACCCATTACCTAACGGGGGCTTTAAAACTTGCTCTGACAGAAGATGTCTTCTTTGTAAGCACAGCACTGACACAGACAGTTTTAACAGCCCTGTTACAGGCTGCAGCTACAAAATACTAAGGAATTTGTCCTGTCATACTGACAACTGCATTTATCTCATCAGTTGCAAAGTTTGCTCCAAACAGTATATTGGTGAAACAGGAGATCTCCGCAGGAGAGTCAATAACCACCGTTCGACCATTAGGACCAAAAAACTCAATGAACCCGTTGGGGAACATTTCAACCTCGAGGGTCACAAATGGGAGGACATGACAGTATTGGTGATTGACCATAACCCAAGATGGACAGACGCTCAGAGAAAAACAAAGAAAAGTTCTGGATGCACAGATTGAAGTCATTCCGCCCTAATGGTATTAACAAACTGAATGACTTCACCAGAATGAACGTAAACTAGACCCAATTCCTGAAGATACTAAACAAGATTATTCTCTCAATTTAGTGTAAACTCTACAGTTAATTTGCGTCACCAACTCTCGAACAACCCACTTAACTATGAATTGCTTACGCCTTTGTTAATTATTTTTTTCCGATAATAAGTCCTAAAATATTTCAAAATTTATAATAGATCATAATTCATATTTTAAAATATCCCTGCTATATCATTTTTCTTTGATTATTCTTTATCAAGTATAGTTACGCCATTTTGAGAGAATGAAACAATGTACAATTTACTGATTGTCGTAATTAATTAGCATAATTAATTCGTTCAATTATGTAAATCGCACTTCACCCGAGTATACCCGATAGACCGGACGTATTTCATAGCGGTCCGGTTTTCTTTCTTTAAAAGTGTTCGTAAAAATTTCCAATTCAACATGTGACTACGTTTGTAAATATATAGTGTTTAGTAGTTTAGTAGTAGTGCTAGTTGTTTTTGTTTCTCTTTTTCCTTTGTTCTTATGACTTTTTAACTTTTTTCTTTGTCCTGAGGAAGGGACAGGGCGTCCCGAAAATTTGACAATTTTTATTGTTCGTGTCGTTGGTTATTTTTAGTGCTTTATATAAATTTCCATCCGTGACCTTGTATCTACTTGGTAGATCCGACATTTAGGATATACATTGTTGTTGGTTTTTTAGTGCTTTATATATATATATATATATATATATATATATATATATATATATATATATATATATATATATATATATATATACACACACACAATCGGATTGGGCACAAGTTCTAAAAACATAAAGAGGCTGGGGGGGGGTGGCAGCCATTTTCAGACTATTTCAATCTCCTTTAAAAGAAGAGCTCCATATAAAGATATAGAAAATGATCAAATTTCAAAGCTAAAATTTTTGAAATTTTTCCTTGCCTTATGATAGTTGACCACTTAAGATACCATATCTAAAAAACTAAGTAAAATCCGGTGGCTAATTTGTGATTAATTTATTGACCCCCAGCCTCCTTAAATCGCCCTCTCCCTATAGCGAACGCTATTTCTCTCTTACATTGTATGGAAATCGCCAAACATTTCATACAAAGAAAACATACCCTCTTCTACTGCAACTGCTTCATCCTGGCTCCCACTATCATCCTAAAAGAGTCCTTCATTATATTACATTACTAATAAGCTTTTTACTGTTTTATTCTTATATTGATTTTAATGATAAGTATACCGGCATGATAGAAACTCCCCACAGACCCAATTAATGTAAATATTGCTCTAATGATTCTGCAAACACCATCATCTTTAAAAATATAATATTGGAAATGTTTCATATATTATCTATACATTGTTTTAAATGTTAATACTTACAATTGTCTCTTTGGGCCACTGTGCTTGAATTGTTGAAATTTCAAAATCCCAAAAGTCTGAAAAAGAATTTTTTAAAAAATGAAGAAAAAAATCACTGAACTAAGATACAATACATATAGCAAATTTGTTTGAAATTTGGCCATTTGTTCTCATGAAGATATCGAAAACTTAAAAGTTTGCAGTCAGACGCCGGACAAAATGTGAACAGAAAAGCACACTTGACCTTCAGGTTAAAAAGAATGAATAAATATGTTACATGTATTTAACATGCTAATTTGGTCTAATTTCTAATGAATCCTTACAAATTACTTTAAAATGTTTCAGTAAAATGCCCAGTTGCTAGTATATTCTCTACTGATCTTTTCTTAAAGATTAACATCGGTATTATTAAAAAAAAAATTGTATCGTTTATGTTTAAAACATTTGGCTTTTGCTTAGTTCACATGTTAAATACTTTCCTAAAGTAAATAGACTGACCTAAGTCTGAACCAAACATATCCATGGAAGCAATTCTCTCATCTTCTTCATTATCGTACGTTTGAGTTCCCTGTATATAACAAAACAATTACAAACATTCACAAGAAAAAAATCATTGAAAACTTGAAGCAAAGGATATACCGGTATTCTTCATGTGAAATATCTTCATTTGAGTTTTTTTAAAATGCTTTCTATGTAATTAGGAAGGATATACTTTGAATCTTCAAAGCACATTCAAAATTATATAAAAGATATATTGCATACTTAAAATTGTTCATAATTCTGGTTTTAGAATTAATCTTTTTAAATTTCTAAATATACTTTTTATAATGAAACTTACCGCATTGCTTATTTGCACCTTTGGTGGAATCCAAATGTCTCCAACTGCAACATCAGATATAAAAGGTCATATAAAAGCTATAACCTCATTCTTTATAAAAGGGAAAATATCAAATAATGGATGATCGATTATCTGAAAATGTGTTTCTTTCAATAATAAACAATCGATTTAAGGTCTTTTTTTGTGCATCGAAACCACGTTAAATATGACGGACACAAATACGGTAATAATAAACCTGCTTTGACAATTCAGGATACTTTTTGAACCCCCTTATTATGAGGTGTGACATTGATTGCTAATTTGCATGTAGAATGATATTTATTTTGTTTCTTCTCGGTTTTACATTTGCTTCTAAAACAATCAAAGGAATTATTTAAACTGGTTGATTGTAGTGTTGTATACGAGATGTAAATAGTGAAGTATAGGAAAACAAAATTAGTCACGTACTCTACATTGAAAAAAGTTTATTATTAAGAGTAGTGTCATTGACACTTTGTTTAAGTACCTTTCAGGCGGATCATCAGGACCCGTAAACTCAATAACGAAATTTTCAGTAAACAAGTAAACAGATTTATTTGAAATAAAGAACACTGCATTGAAGATGTAAATGCAAAAGAAATTGAAAATTGCCCTGGTGAAACAATTTTATAAAGGGATGATAATATATACATCATTTTCCTCGAAAGGGTAAAAAAGAAGTCGAATTTCGTTTTAGCAGACCTATCTTCATATGAAGAAGTTTTTAAACATCTACTAAATAAAGAAGTCTCGTGATTTGGCCTTCAGTTCATCATTTAGATATTTTGATAACGTTTGAGTAAATTAACCATTAATTTTGAAGTTAGTGAACAGTAATTGAGCTCGAAAGTCCATTATTGAAAGAATACAATTTGGAGCAATACAAACGCCATCATCTCCAAGCTAAGAGGACGAATCAAATGCTTGGATTTGCTAAATCATAACAAGGAGAAATCGGCGGGTGAGATCGGTAGACAAGCAATGTTTACTCCTACTTGGCATCTTTTCCCACCTCTAATGTTTATCGTTATATAATCACACATAAAAAATATTTATAATTTAATTACCTTGTTTGACATTGCATTCACACAAATTTGATTTCTTTTCTCTGAACTTCTTATTCTTCCAACGAGACAAAGAGAAGACTGCATGGAAGATTTTCTGTCAGATAGATATATCTAAATTTGATTTTCTGCTTATTTTCCTAAAATACGATATTTTCAAATTGAGAGAGAGAGAGAGAGAGAGAAAGAGAGAGATTCTTTGCAAATAATAATGTTCAAATTTTTAACATCTATTCATTTAAGAAAAAAAATACGTCACCCATTTCAACTCTCTTCTTTCGGTTTGAATGATAATATTGCGTAGTAAATTTCTATCTAATATAAACTACTATAAAGAGCTAAATAAATCCTTACCAGTACATTTATAACAATGTTTACATTGTTCCAAACCAGAATTTCCATATATTCCTGTAAATGCAGCATCTTTGTAATTGTATATTAGTAAAAAGAAGCTTTATTTGAGGAAGAGCTCTCTTGGTCCGAATCTGTACCTTTATCAGCAGTACTAAATTTAGGTAAGGGGATTTTCTTTTTTCCTAATTTGAATAGAGATTTATGTTTTAATGCTTTTTATTACTAATATATAGAAATTAATCATGCATAATAATTTGCGACAATTAAATACAAAGTCGACTTATTTTTATAATTATTTATTTTATTATTAAATAATTCTTAACAATATTCTTGATTTATATGTTTCTAAATTTAGCGAATGCACAGAGGCCTTTTTATCTGCTGAGGTGTTATATATATCAAGAAACGTTTGTTCCTATTTGTCCCGAAGCGATGAAGGAACTTATTAGAAATAATTAATACATGAACGAGTTAAACAATTTAAAATTTTAAACACACACTGATACAGATATTCTTAATGCAAAAATTCCCCAAAATCTATTTTTAAATCATTGAAAATTTCTAGACGGGACATATAGATTTTTATAATGATTTAATTATATATAAAAAGTGTTATTTTTCTAGCTTTGTTTTGTTTCTTTTTTAAAAGTAGGTATGCGCTTTAATATATTTTACATTAGTTAAAGGAGACTAATTTTACATTCACCATCCTTAAGCGGTATAAGAAACGAAAGTTAAATTTAGTGCTATTTTTAGAATGCGATTGCCCCAGGTAAATAAAAAATATTTATACACTTTTATGAACATAAGGAGGTCGGATACTGATATTTAAAATCCTAAAAAAAAATTTCCACCATATTGCTAGTACATACACACATAGTTTGATTCAAAATCAAAAGTATGTGGGTCAAACATTACTTTGTTTCGCACAGTACATCAAATAAGACCTGTTTGAATATAAACATCGCATTATTAAAGATTTTCCTTCATTTTTTCATCGAAATAAATATACTATAGCTCTATTTTTAAAAGACACTTTAAAATTTTGACAAAAGAGAAGATTTAGTTAAAGTGTTTCTCACAATCAATTATTTCACCATTCTGCAATGAAAAAAAATAACAGGCAAATAAAAAGTTTTATCAACGTCTTTAGCTTTTGTTGAATTAAAAAAAGCCAAAATATCAAAGTTATCTTACATTTTATATTCAGAATAGTAAATCAAAAGTTGGGGTTCTATATGATATACGTTTTTAGACATCACAAAAAGTGTTGATTTTTAACGTTATAATTGGCACATATTTTCATAGACTTTCAGAATATTTTTAATTTATTTGACACAGTCTGATGAAAAAAAAAACATAAAATAATTTAATAAATATTTCAGAAGAACTATCAAATATTTCACTGCAAAGAATAGCTCTCTGGAAAAAATATCAGAATTCTAAAAACTTCAAAAGGGAAAAAAGATTATTTTCTTCTCAAAACCCCTCTCTTAAAAAAAGTTCCTGACTTTATCCAACTTATATAAAATTTTATTACGAATTTTTCATTGAATATGTTTTGATTTGCGTTGTAGAATCCAAATCAAATGTATGGACGTAAATATGACGCACAGCAGAATTTTAGAAATCTAGGACCAATTTACAAATCTGCTCAAAAGCAAGGTTAAAATCTCCTTAAGAATACGAATTTCATTTCTAGAATGGTGAAACTTATTGATATAAATATCTTAAAATTAAAGCTATCGAAGAAGTGAAAACAAGAATGTATCAATTAAAATTTTCTTTATGCTTGGCACAAGGAATTGGGTAAGAACAAAGAAGCGATAGAAAAAAAATTAACTTTAAATAGAATGAAAATGAACAAAAAATTATTGTATCAATATATTTGAGTGGTGAAAATCAGATGTGGATACTTGAAAAATCCAAGGAATTTGGAAAAATGAAAATCACAGCGTTAAAATTTTCAACTCTATAAAAACCCATTTTCCACGATAAATAAAAGTGAAGGCTTTTTGAAATCATCGCCAGCGGCTTTTCCAATGATGATAGAACTTTTAGATTTACTTACTTTGTCATCGGTCATTTGTTAATTTGTTTTGTTAAAATCATCGTGATTGTATACAAAAATACACTATACTCAGACATTTGCCATTATAAGATGCTCGTGAATCGGGTCAACAAAACCTAACAGAATGTAAAGAGTGATGCATAGGAATTTGTTATCTTTACCGGCACCTTTACAGGCCGGGGTACCTCAAGGTTCGATGTTAGGTCCCTTGATATTTTCAATTTATGTGAATGATATCGCCGATAAAATGTCAAGTTTTTGTAGACTCTTCGCTGATAACAACAGCTTACTGTATGCTTCTAAAAGTGTAAAATCAATTGAAAGTAAGTTAAATGATGATCTTAAATCTTCAGAAGAGTGGTCAAAAAGTGGTTACTTAAATTTAATGCCTCCAAGACGAAAGTATTTTTTTTTAACAAAAAATAATTTAGAACTCCCTAAGCTTCCTTTCCAGGGTAACCAATTAGAATACGCTCAAAACCCACAAACATTTAGGAATAACATTTTTATATAACTTAAGTTGTTCGTCCCACATTGAAACCTTACTATCAAATGCATACAAAAATGGGTCTTTTGAAAAACTCAAATTCAAAATAAATCGAAAAACTCTTTCACTTATGTATACGTCATTCATACGCCTCAAAATGAATATGCTTCGGTAGTATTGGGAGGTTGTTCAACGACAGATTCTGAAAAAATTAGAAAAATTACAACTACAAGTTATTGGCTCTAATTCTTTAAGTATTGTCTTGGCGTATCACCTTTTGGTAAAAGTGTAATAATACCATGTCTTTGTGCATTAGAGAGACTTGTTCGTAGACTTAATTTCGTATATATGATGAAAAGTTTCTCTAACATCTTATACATGTGAAGAAGAAAACGCTTCCCGTAGCCGCCAACTAGACATTTAGATATATCGACGATGCATTATCAATTAAAAATAGTTGCTTTTGTTCATATGTCGACATGATATACCCAAGTGGGCTGAAAAAAGATACCACACAGAATTTTTCACATCTGCTTCAGATTGAGATATTTTACTAGAAAAGGACATTAATGGTATCCTATCATGAAAACCTAATGATAAACATGATGACTTCAACTTTTCAATCGTCAACTTCGATTCCCTTCCTAATGTAGCATTATACCTTTAAATGGGACTTTTGTCTGTAAGTTGACTCTTTACAAAACATAAGATCATGCTCTTCGTACAAACAATGTCTAAAACGAGGTGTTAATAACAAACAAGTTGTTGATACAAACAGAAGTATCATTTAAAGTTATCATTCTGCAATTGCATGGTCGATACAATGGTTTTGTCAGCAGGTACAATCTACTAATAATTTGAAATGCGTATGGACGAATGCCATACTAATTGTTAAGTCATTATTTTCCACATGAATTTCTACGGATCTTCCCATTTTTCCCGATCAAGAAACTCAAGGCCATGTGACCGGTCGATAGGGGATGCTTACTTTTAAAATGCACATGATCTCCTCTCTGATGTTTCAGACTGCTCCTGATATTTATTGTTTGATATATCGACGACCTGTCAATTAACAATAGTAATTTCCATTCTTATTTCGATACGACGTATCCTGGTGAACTAAAGATACAACATTGAGCTTGAGATAAAAGAAACAACAGAATCTAACACATCTGTTTCATATTTGGATGTTTAACGTAAAAGACATTAATGATAATCTAATAACCAAGCTCTATGAGAAACGGGATGACCGTTACTTTTCAATCGCCACCTTCCCTTACTTATGCAGAAATATACCTTCATCACCTGCATACAGAGTTTATATATCTCAGTTGATTTGATACTAAAAGCTCTACGTACGAACAATTTCTAAAACGAGGTAAATTATTGATAATCATGTTGATGAAAGAAGAATATCAGCAGTCTCGTTTAAAGTCATCATTTCGTAAGTTCTATGGTCGATACAATGACCTTGTCAGCAAATACAATTTATTATTTCGTCAAATGCCAACTACGTTTTTCATACCTATTGTTAGTTTATTATTTATACACTGGATTGGCGTCGGATTTTTCCGTTATTTCCTGATCATGACAAGGAGTAAACGGCGGGTGTGACCTGTCGGTAGGTAATGCCCAGTCCTCTATGGTACCTGATCCTACCTCTGATGTTTTGGAGGTTCATGCTTGCTCTACTCCTATTTTGTATTGTTTTATGGATTATTGATCTTGCCTTTTGAGTTTGAATATTGTTCATGTGAAGAGGTTGTTTTATTTTCTGTATATATTACTTTAATTTTGTTCTAATGGGTTTCCATACATTGGAGATTGTTTGGTAAGGAGTATATAAAGGGACCGGTTTGATTAGTTTGGTGAGAGCTAGTCTGGTGTCCGGTAGCGTGACCAGGCGGAGGTGTGCCACGTTTTGCAGTTTCCCCGGCATGACTTATACAAGTGGCGAATATTTCCAGTGAGATATAGCACTGTATGTAAACGGGTAGCCATATAACTTGTCAGGAGGATTATTGCAGCGTGTTTGTGCAGTTCTAGCCGGTAAGAGTGTTCGAGTAATGTATATAGTTTGTTTGCTGGTATAAATTTCCGGTGTCAGATGTATTTTAGGTTAGGATTTTGTAAAAATAAATTAATTTCAGTGTGTAAGGGTCTTGGAGGCAATTTACAGCTTATTGGACGTGCTGAGGGTCTATTGACGAGCGCTAGATGTTTGAGGCTTATTGACGAGTGTTGTATGGAGGGCCACGTGCGTCATATCCGATGTCGACACTGTTAAGGGCGTGGTAGGATAACTAGGAGCGAGAGGCTAAGACCCGGGCTCTGCAGTTTAGGAACTACCATTTTGTGGACCACGGAACTTGATGTGACGTAGACGTACTTGTATGGCGAGAGCGCACTGGTGTAGTTTCCTTAATTTGTGAATTTTGTGAACTCTGAGTAACTTTCAGTAGCAAATAACAAAACAGGTTAAAATTTGAATATACATTTTATTCTTTTTGG